GCCAGAAACTTTGAGTATTCAGAGTATACATTCGAAAGGGCAGTTTAAAATCACATCAAATGGAGGACGCGTACGAAGAGGCGGGAATTTGTAACGATGACCAAAAAACGTGTGCGTTCTGACACACGTTGGAATGAGGTTAACCGTCGAATTTTTGACTTTTCAAGTTCGAAACCAAACACACCGACTAACTAGTGCTAGTGGGGTGTTTGGGGGGCAATTGTGGGAGCCGGATAAAAGTGGACGCAGATAGGCCAAATAGACATTTAGATAATCGGTACATGTTATACTTGCCCCTGTCTTGTACGTTCTGGATGCCGAATATATTAGTCGGCCACAAAGCCAGCTGAACAATGGGCCGATTAGAGATTGGAAGTTGGAATACGACAAAAGAAGGACCGAGTGAGCAATCACACGATGGATTAGTAGTGGGCCCCATCCTGAGGACTGGGAGCGTATATAAATAGAAGAGCAACAACCTACGAGAGGTATGTGAGAGCTATTACGCTTAACTTAAGATACAAGTAACTAAGAGAGCATATACTGACTTAACCGTCGGAGTGCCAATTCCGGCATCCCCGACCGGAGTGTTCATTCATTTTCAGGTTACTAGCTGAAGGTCTCGAGCGTCCCAGTGGATCAAAAGAGTATTTCCAAACTACTTCCCCACAGTAGGAATACTAACAAAGAAAATGTTTAACACAAAGGCTCTATAAGAGGAAGATAAATGAGAATAGGACACAAAATTTGAGATAGGATGTTGAGTACAAGATCTCACACCCTTTCTCTTGGCAATAGGAATATCAAGATCAGTAGTGTCAGGAACAGTAATATCAGTAGACTCAAGAGAAATAAGAGGTTCAAAGTTATCTGGAATCTTATCAGAAGTAGGAGATGGCAGTGGGTGAGCAGAAGTGGTTTTTTATATCTAAGTAACTTTTTGTTTGTCTTTATCCCTGATATAAACTTGCCCTTCTTTGTCCTTGGTAGCATTGGATTCTATAGTCCCAGTAATATGTGGTGCAGGAACAACTGGTTCCACCATAGGAGCAACAGGGACAACAGGAATCTCTTCACACCAAGTCTCCTCTTGAAAGGATGACTGTGACACCGGAAAAGACAAGAAGTAGGACGGTGACTCAAAGAATGTGACATTCATGGACACAAACTACTTACGAGAAGAAGGGTGATAACATTTATACCCCTTTTGAGTAGGCGAGCATCCGAGGAAAACACACTTGAGAGAGCGAGGGTCTAACTTACCACGAGTAGGAGAATGATTGTGGACAAAACTGGCACAACCAAATATTTTTGGGGAAATGGAAGACACAGACTCTGAATCGAGAAGGACTTGAAGTGGTGCTTGTTTTTGCAAAATCTAGGTAGGAAGACGATTAATGAGATAGGTTGCAGTGAGAATGACCTCGCCCTAGTAGGACTGAGGCACACTCATAGAAAAACACATGTAGCGAGCCATATCAAGAAGATGGCTATTCTTGTGTTCTGCAACCCTATTTTGTTGAGGGGTATTGGTGTAAGATGTCTGATGTATAATGCAAAGAGTGGAAAAATAGCTCTGTAACCCTGAATCGATGTATTCACCCCTATTATCAGAACGCAAGATTTTGACAATTGCCTCAAATTGAGTACAAATCATTTTATGAAAATTTTGTAATACAGAGAAAACTTCACTTTTTCTTTCATGAGATATACCTAAGTAGTATGAGAAAAATCATCGATAAAAGTAACAAACCATTTATGGTCTTTTAAAGACACAACACGAGATGGACCACACACAACACGAGATGGATTCCACACATCAGAACGTATTAAAGAAAAAAGAGCTAAACTTTTATTAAGACTTGGAACAAAAGAAGCTCGGTGTTGTTTGCCAAGTTAACAAGACTCACAAAGAAACTTAGACACATTATTGTTTGTAAAAATAGACAAAAATAAATGCGTAAGTAAATGAAAAGAAGGATGCCCAAGACACTAATGCCACAATCATAAATTCTCCTTGGTGGTTGGGAATTGGATGGAATGATGAGCAAGTTGGTTCGGCTGATCCAAGAAATAGAGACCATTTTCTGCACTACCATTGCCAATTGTCCTCTTCATGACAAGGTTCTGAAAAAGACAATGATCAAGAAAAAAATGTCACACTACATTTCAAATCCTTAGTAATACAACTCAAGGATAGAAGATTAACAGAAAAATTGGGAACGTGGAGCACTGAAAACAGAGGTATGGTAGGGGTGACATGAATTAAACATTTCCTAGAGATAGAAGAAACAATACTATCTGCAATCCTAACTTTGTCTTGACCTGAAGAGGGCTTATATATTGAGAAAATGTCAGAAGACCCAGACATATGATCTGAGGCACCAAAATCAATAATCCATGGCAAAGACTTGTAGGAAAGAAATGTTAGAATATTTTATTGTTTCCTTATTTAGATTAGATTGTGATTGATTGATTGCTTATGATTTCTTAATCAGTCAATCAATCATTCAATATAAAAGGTGATTCCTTAATTAGTGCCTTTGGGCTTCCGTTTGTAACAGTTGATTGATTAATATAAAAGGTGATGATATCATAATCATCGCCTAAGTTTTGTATTCTCTTAAATTACATGGTATCAGAGCGAAAACCTTAAAAACCGTTACACACACAGCCACTGCCACAAACCAGCCATCACCTATCACCACCCATCCTTCACCGCTGGTCCCTGAGTCTCTGTTGGAACTAGCCAAGGTACCACAAAGCTGTTTCGACTTCAGTTAAAGGCCCTTTTGGCCTAGTCGACCCTTGTGAGGGCTGTCTTAGCCTTTCTTTGTGTATTTCGACTCCTGTGGATGAGTGTTTGAGGGCTACCCATCTTCTGTTGCCCCAAGTTTCCTTTCTTCTACTTTCTTGAACACAATTCAACACTTGTTTTGATTGGAGGTTCATTTTCCCATATTTGATTTATTTTTTGGGTCCATAGATGATCCATTAATGTGATTGTTATGTTTTCATAGTGGTTTGTGTGTGATTTTGCTTGTTCCAGCCCATTCCATTCCTCTTTCCATTCTTGTGATTCATGCAAGGTTTTTTGGGTTGAAATTGTAGAGTTCTTATGGCTGACCTAACTAGTGAATTTACCACTACTTTTCACCCATCTAAAGGGGAGAGCTCCAATCCAGTTATGACTACTACATCTGAGAACTTGAACCCTAGCCTCAAAATCACCATCGCTGTGTTTAATGGTTAGGATTATCTTTCATGGCCTTAGTGTCTTATCACTTTTATTGAAGAGTAGGGGGAAGATGTGATATGTTAATGAGAGAGTTCGAGCACCAGGTATTACGGATCCTGGCTATGACCAATGGGAGATTACCAGCTCTTTAATCATGGGGTGGGCCATTCATTCCATGGTTCCTGAGATTGGTGAAGGCTTCTTATCTATGGATACTGTCCAGAATATTTATGAAGTAGTTGCTGCTACATTTTCTCGAAAAGGGAATTTTTGTCAGTTTTTTGAGTTGCGCCAGTCTATTGAGCGCTTAGTACAGGGGGAGCAGACAGTTCTCCAGTATTACACCTTTTTGAAATGGTTGGAAATGCTTAGATCATCTCCTGGATTACAGGGTTGAGATTATCAGTCATAGTAGAAGGTATAAGGGAACTCTCGCTCTTAGGCGGCTGAGAAGTTGTGGAGTCACTAGTGAAATCTGCTATGAATATTCTACTAAGTAACCCTCAAATCTAGTGCCAATCACAAACTCGGAAGATGGTGGAGGAATAGCAAACACTATGACCATAAAGAGATCTTCAAAAGAATGAATTTTTTTTTTAATGTATCATTTTTTTTTAAGGTATCATTTTTTTAATTTTTTTTTTAATGTAACCAGGTCAAAACCATTACAAGAAAAGAGAGAGAGAGAGAGAGAGAGAACAAACTGACTACAGCGAGAGAGAAGAACGACACTGTGACAAAAAAGGGGAGACGACTGAGAGGGCCGACCAAAGCCTAGGAGTCAAGGGAGACCCCGACAGAGGCCAAGAAAGCCAGAGGGGCTGTTGACAGGCCCTTAGAGTGCCAGAAAAGCTGCCGACAGACTCCCTAGGAGACCGTCCTGGGCTACCTAAGACTATGGGTTGACTATCAACGGCCTGGGTGAGGGGCTATGGGGGCTGACTGGACTCCTAGGGAAGAAATGAAGGGCAGTGATACTAGGGTGATTGCCGACAGAACAGAAGAAGGTATGGGCTAGGGTTTTGGCTCTGATACCATGTAGGTTTAGAGAAGAGAAAGCGTTAGAGAATGAGTTAGACCTCATCCCCTTTTATATAGATAATAATGAGTAATTACAAGAGGGCCACAAGGCACAAATTATGGGCCAACCCATTACACCAATTAAGGGAAAATAAAATCAAACAATATTATTGCCTATTCTAACAATTTGCACAATTTTTGCTTGTCCTTTCTTCTTTTCCACCACCAAGCTCTCTTCCTCTCTTTACTCTCTCCCAGCTTTGTATGTGTATGTGAGTGTGTAAATGTGTTCAACAAATGGGATGGTGATATATTTATAGAGGATTTGGTGTGAAAAGTCCAAAATGTCCATTGGTTGGAATAGAATGAAATTGAGTTGTATTTAGTTAGAATGTAATGGAATGAGGGATGATTAGGGGCTTAATTATATCATTAATCATGATCTAGTTAGATTTAGGACTAAGCAATTATTCTAGTTACAAATACATGTGTATATATATAACAAATCTATATAGGTACCAAAGCCATAATGGTTATGTGATTCTGGGATTTTGTACCAAGTGTATCCTAGAAAATCCTAGTGTATCTGTAATGACCTGAACCCGCTCCTAGAGGTTAGGATCATAATCGGCCAGTAATCATGAGATTACCTACGGCCTTAGATAGAAAATCAAACATATTTAACAATAAGGGGCCAGAAGCAGAAGCAGACTAATAAATTTTGTCCAATGAGCTGTGCATATATGGCATAACAAAAACTTTTTGCTTGTATAATAACTCACACCCAACAGAACATAAAAGATTATACATGTCTAGGATCATTCAAAAACTGGCAAACCAAAAACCAACGTTTATATACAGATCTGGTCATACATGACCATCAAAAGTAAACAAAAGAAAATCAAAACAAAAGCCTCTTGCGTGAAGCAACCTTGGCTAACTCCAAAATATCGGTAACCTTTTACAATGTCACTAAGGCTGGGGTTGGACGTCCCGCTGCTCACCTACATACATATATATAAACAGAGCGAAAGCCTAGTAAATAATATCAGAGTAAAGAGATTGATGAATGAGATTCGTATATAAATAAATCATACTTAATACATATGGAACACAATTCCCATTCATAATGTGGTTAAGCAAATCATAACGGAACGACCTTAGGTCCAATCCATTATACTTAGAACATGTCAAAGGGATAAAACGACCTTGGATCCAACATGTCCATAGACAAAACGACCTTTGGTGAAACATATTCATATTCAAAATGACCTTTGGTCCAATACATTCATATTCAAAGCAACCTTTGGTCCAATACATTCATATTCAAAACGACCTTTGGTCCAATACATTCATATTCAAAACGACCTTTGGTCCAACATATTCATATTCAAAATGACCTTTGGTCCAATACGTTCATATTCAAAACGACCTTTGGTCCAACATATTCATATTCAAAATGACCTTTGGTCCAATACGTTCATATTCAAAACGACCTTTGGTCCAATACATTCATATTCAAAGCGACCTTTGGTCCAATACGTTCATATTCAAAATGACCTTTGGTCCAATACATTCATATTCAAAGCGACCTTTGGTCTATTAAATCAATATACAAAACGACCTTAGGTCCTTAGACATATATACCAAACAACCTTGGGTCCATTGAATCAAACATAGAAAACGACCTTAGGTCCGTCATATGCAGAACAACCTTGGGTCCACTTAGGCAAAATGACCTTAGGTCCATTATAAGCTAAATGACCTTGGGTTTATTATACTTTCATCTTTAACAAATCAAATTCAGAAATTACATTCAAAACATTTGAAGTCTCATTCATATTCAGAAATCATGAATTTGGAAACTTACCATACAAGCATTTAAGAAAATAACATATAATAGAATATCTTTATTAAGATATTACTCACAGTGTTTGGAGTGTTGATTCATCCTCGTGGATGCTCCTACACAATTCATAAACATACAAAAGTTGGATCACAATGCTATTCAATCTGCTCCTTAACTTGTTTAATTCTCTTAGGATCTTTCTAACCTTTCAATTCATTTAAAATGCTCAATGTATGCTTAAGAGTGTTCAAAAAGGAATGAAAACGGAATTTGGAACAAAATATGGCTTTTCAAATTTTTTGAAACAGGACACTTTGCTCAAGCGCAACATTGATCGCTCGAGCGGACCACTAGGTCTACAAAAGTATTGGATGCATGCAAAGTGCGCTCGAGCGGTGAGGCAAAATCCTATAATTTCCAGAACAGGGTTTAACTTCAAACACAGTTTCAAATCATGGACTTGCATGGCTTATTCACAACTACAAAAAAACACTTAGAAACTCTTTCAAAAACATAGATTACAAGATTCATGCTCAAAGGATGAAAATCAACATTCAAACCGAATAAATATTTCCTGTTTCCTAATCATTTATTTATGTTGTTTCTTAGCTTACTAATCCATAATAAGTCATAATTCATGACTAAGAATGCCCAGAAAGAGATGAAAATAAAGATAAGAACTTAAAACGTTTTTTGAAAACATGCTGAAAATAAGTTGATGGCTAGAGCCATCTTTTAGTCTCTAGAGCCATAGTTCGCTCGAGCCACAATATGGTCGCTCGAGCCAACTGTGCAAACTGTAAAAGTACTGGGAGCTCGCAATGTTGGCTCGAGCCACCATTTGGTCACTCGAGCAATCTATGAAATTTCTGGGTTTCAAAATAGAATGTTTGGCTTCCAAACACAAATTCAAAGCCTTGGGTCATGCATGCCTCATTTAAAAACAGAAAATTGCTTTAGCAAACATATCTACTTGACCCCTTAAAAATCATTTGCTCAAAATCTCTTTGTTTCAACCAAAAGTCAACTTAAACCCCCATGCATGCAAGATTTTCTAAACTCTTTTCTCAAAACTCAACTCCAAAGTGTATAAGCTTGCATGTTTGAACCATACTCTTGAAAATATATGGAAATACATATGTATGAGCTCAACTTGAAACCATAAGCTCAAAAGTGTTATGAATTGCCAAAATTGAGATCAAAACTTCTATACATGCATCAATCCAACTTCAATTCCCTTCCAAGACTTTCAAAACATGGAATTAATCTTCAAAACTTCATAATTCATGAATGCATATAAGGTATGATCCTTAATTTAAACATGGATGACAAAAATCATACTCAAAATGATGGAATACAACAAAATTATGCATGCATGCAAGAATTGAATTTAGATTCTTCTTCTTAAGCTCATTTCTTTCATTTAATCATGTAATCTTAAATCTCACACATTGAAGACTCCAATTCACAAATTAAGGTTCAATTACATACCTAGAGTCCTCAATTGCACCAATTCTAGCAAAAACTTGAGTTGTTCTTCATAATCCTTCAATCTTGCAAGCAATTCCAAGCTTCCAAGCCTTTTCTCTCCCTAAAATCAAGTTTTCTCTCTCTAAAGCTCTCTTTCCCAGCAGATTTTTTAGTCCAAAATGAGTTTAATCACATCTCAACACATATATATACTTGTAATTAACTTAGGCTAATTAAGTAAGCTTAAGGTTAACTAATCCCACTTAATTCTAATTGATTTAATCTAATTAATCTAGTCTGAATCAAATTTTAATGAAACTTCACAGTGGGCTCTAAAAATTACGCTAATCACACTAAATTAATCAATTTCGATTTTTGTTGCCTGTACGGCCCCTAATTTCAAATTATAGCAGAGATTGTAATAGATTTTTCTACAATCAACAAGTAGATATCCAAAAATCACATAGAACACATAATTAGCATCCAGATTCATATTAGGCATATAAATACATATATAATTAATGAATTAGAAGCTTAATACGGAACAGAGTTGCCACAAGTGTGGATTATAGTGTGGACTGGTTTTTTATTGTTTGTACGTGTTGGTTTCTCACCAACTTGAGGGTGATGCTAGCATTTGTTTGTGGCACTCCCTCCTTCTTTATTGATATAAGTCTTATATGAACATAATTTGTTGTATCAATAAAGTTTTTGTTTTTGTTGATCAAAAAAAAAAAAATGTAAGTTTTAAATTTTTAATTTTCATTTAAAAAAAGTTTTATGATATTTACATTCATTGTCTTCATACATAACACAATCAATCAATTACATAAACAAAAAACTAAATTAGTCTCTTTATAGTCTTTTTCTCATTTGAATGAAGTAAATTTTTATTTTAATCTTTGCAAAATAAATTAAATAATACTAATTTAAATAACACTAATTTGGTCTATATCTTATATATTTTAATTATATTCTCGGTCTCATGCCACCAAAATTAGATTTTCTATAGATTCATCGTGTATCATTTTTTTAATGTGTATATATTTGGTAAAATTGTACTGCTTTCTAAAATATTTGTATATGTTTTCGGTTTGATTGAAGTTGTTGTTAATCTTACTCTTTAATTCTAATGTTTTTCATATATCTTTCTCACAATATTATTTTCATACCTTTTTCACGTGTGCCCAACCTCTAATATGTACTAAAATAGATACAACATAAAATAAATAAATAAATCAATTTAAAAAAAAAAGCCATATGCCAATCGATCACATTAACCCCACATTGATCAAGAAATACAAAAAAAAAAAAAAAACGAAAATGCAAAACAGACTTAAATTTGGAGGAAGATGAAGGGTAACTGTTTATTTTATGCTCTCAAACCAGTTTGAGAGGAAAGGAGGTTACCTAGAATAATTTATTTAAGGGTGAGATGTGGGGTTTAGGCAGTTACATCAATTTTAGGGTTTGAACAACTCCCTGTCATCGTTGTCCTTGGCTGGAGCAACATTGCCATAACTACTACTAGTAGTCGTGACGCTTTCGTCAAGAAGAATTGCTATCATGGTATAGCGACTGAGTGTAGTAAAGTTG